CGACAAGTTCGGCCATTTTGAATGTTCAGTTAATTTTTGACAGCTGCTTTGCTTGCACGTGTTGATTCGTCTTCGATTTTTGCCTATTCCAAAAAATGGATCAAAGAATCTGTATCAAATTTTGTGCGAAAAACAAAATTAAGTGCGCGGACGCATTCCGAATGTTGACTGTGGCATATGGTGGAGCTACCTTGGACCGAAGCAACGTTTATCGATGGTACAAAATGTTCTCAGAGGGCCGAGAAGATGTGAACGACGAAGAGCGTGCCGGACGCCCGAGCACGTCAACAACAGACGAAAACATTGATGAAGTGAAGAAAATAGTATTGGCCAATCGTCGAATCACCGTCAGAGAAGTTGCTGAGGACCTAAACATATCGATTGGCTCGTGCCATTCGATTTTTTCCAATCAATGATTTGGGCATGAGACGGGTCGCCGCGAAATTCGTACCAAAATTGCTCAATTTCGACCAAAAACAGCATCGCATTAACATTGCTAAGGAGCTGTTGGACTCTGCCGCAGCCACCGTATTCCCCAGATCTAGCCCCCTGTGACTTTTGTTCCCGAAACTGAAGAGGCCCATGAAAGGACGACGCTACGCTACGATTGAGGAGTTAAAGACGGCATCGAAAAAGGAGCTGAACAAGATCACAAAAAATGATCTTTTGAAGTGCTTCGAGGATTGGAAAAAGCATTGGCACAAGTGTATAATATCTGATGGGGATTAAGAAAAACATTGGCACAAGTGTATAATATCTGATGAGGATTACTTTGAAGGGGACAAAATAGATATTCATGAATAAATAAATAATTTTTGAAAAAACACAAAATTCGCGATACTTTTTGAACAGACCTCGTATATGAATCAATAGATGCTAGGGATATAATACATCTTTTACTCTTTTTAATGCACAAGAAAATGGTTTGGGCAGGGAATGGTAACTCGTTAATTGTAACAAAGTTACAGTTACAAGTTACTTTTTTGGTAACTTTACTGGTAACTGCGTTACTTTTTTGTTTGGTAACTGTAACGGTAACGAATTTTACACTTACTTTTATCGCTTTTTGCTCATATTTGGACATTATACGACACAAGCCACTCACACTATAAATAAATTTTGTAAATTTACACATATATTAAATGTAAAAATTACATGATTATTCCAATAAATATAAAAAATCAGGCAATTTCACAGAAGTTATGTAATTCCACAATTATTATGTTAATTAGCATTTATTGTGCAAATATATCTTATATTACATGGAAAATTACGTAAATAGCAAGATATTTTGAATATTTTCTGTAATTATCCAAATTTTAATAATATTACGTAATATAACTGTAATTTTTGCGTATTATCAAATGTATAATAATATATAATGCAAAATGTATTGTCATATTATTATTCCTATAACTACACATACACATTGTAATTATACTTCCACAATCTGCTTAGGTATAAACCAAGAAATTATTTTTATTTGCATATTGAGAATTTACAAACGCGTGACCGTTTATAACCATTATTGTGGGTCTCAAAACTATACTACTTATATAGTATAATACCACTATAATAGTTGTAATTTTACACAAAAATTTTTTACTGTGCATGACGCTTGAAACTAAAAAGCCTAGACCCATCCGCTGTGATTGGCGGTCGTCGATTTTAAAAAAGTAACGGAAAAGTAACGAAAAGTTTTTTTTACTGTTACTTTCTTAAGTACTCGATAACGAGTAACTGTAACTTGTTACTTTTAAAAAGTAACTTTCCATTCCCTGCGTTTGATTATGTTTTGATATCAACCTATACATAGTTAAATGCATTTTGATTAAACCAAACAGAATTTCAAGTTGTTGTCACAATTTTGAGATTTTACAAATAGAATGTTGGTAATCTACTATATAGTATAAAGGTTATGTTCTATTATATTTTATATTATATCATATTATAAAGCTTTCTTTAAATCTTTTTCAGTGGGATAGTATGATTGGTTTTATTGCTCTATGATCTTGTTCAGTGGAAAATTAAGCATCACCTATTCCAAAATTCTAATTAATTACAACTTCAGCGCATTCTAGCAGTTCGATTATTGTACCAGTCAACGCAGGTCAGGCGAACATATACTATGCACTGAACTATAAAAATAAATCGGAAATGCCTCCAAATTATTTTAAGTTATCCTAATTTGCCGAAAATACAGTTGCGTTAATTACAGGTTACGTCGTGCGAATAGGGTTTAAAAGATTCATTGCATATCTTGTTGCTCTGTTCTCTGCAATGGCAACTTCAACGACAATAGGCTTAAGTTAATTCTTCAAAAATAGAATGGCGACCTTATATTTCCTTCTCCCGATGTTGCAACGATTTGCAGTTTGACTGAAAAGATGTTTCGAAGAGCTATACAAGTGTTGCCTACGGACATACCAAGATTTAATCATATCGTAGTAAATGCAGTATTTGCCAATTTAGCCACAAAAAATTTGTTTCCAGAACTACATAATCACATGTTTGATATGTCAAAAGAGGAAAATCATATACGTAGTCTATCAAAGACAATATCTTTGTGTTATATTAGGATAAAAATGTTTCACGAAAGCAAAAAGATTACGAAACGCACTGATAAACATCGGAAAAACGAAAGAAACTATAGCGACATGCCATTTTCTTAAATGTATAAATAAGCGTATAAATAAACACATTATGTATGTATATACCGAACATGTGTATACTTTTCACATTTTGTAGTATTTAAAATTAAGAATAATATATTATTCCACATTCAAATCAAAGGGTCACATTAGCGACTTAAGACATTATTTAAGACGGTCTTAAAATAAGAACCGACTATGAATACCGGTCTAAGAGTGTCAGCACTTTTCGTTCGTCTTTGTATGTTCGCCTTTTATAGTTCTTCTTCTTGAATAAAGGTGTTACAAGATTTTATTTCAGAATTTATTCAAGCGCCTACGAAACCATAATTCAACAGTTTCGCACTAATAATCCATTTCTGTAAGGGATTAAATTGAAGCCAAGTCTGAATGTTCAGTGGATGTCCTATGCTGTCTGGGAACTGAGCCCCTAAACTGGGCCTTAATATGAAAATACCTAAGCTACGGTGGAATTCTAATTCCATCATGACATTATATTCCGTGATGGAATCTTGAATTCATGACTACGTTTACACGCACTGATAAAACCGTTTTAGTAAAAACCATTTTAGTTAAAACCGGTGTTAGATGTCCTGTAAACGTTTCTTAATATCGATGTTAGTAAATCCAAATCTCTTCTAAAACAGGTTTGGCGTTAACTAAACGGTTTTAAGAAAGCCGAACGTAGAAACGGTATTCAATCGGTTTTACGTATCAAAATTCAATGTTACCAACTTTAGACGTTAATTTTAGACAAACATTAGAAGGTTAAGACAAAATAATCCTTCATCCCTTCCAGTGAACTTTCCCTCTCTCTTCCTTAGATTATAATATAAATTGATGCTTTTGATTGCGTGAACGGTCATAATATCTTGGTCAACAATAGCTACCTCACTTTTAGACAATGATAATACTTAAAATTAAAATCTGTTTGCTTGGAATTTTGTGAAGAAATAGATCTGCGACTTGTCGGAAGAATATGTATCAATGAATACTTGATGAGTATATCGAAAATTATTAATGACATAATAAGAGCACGTTAGAAATTAATTGACTTATAAATCTTAAAATCTCGGTTTTTTTTGTTCTTTTCTTTTTTGGTTTTTCAATAATACTTGGATAGCATCTGGTAATCACGTATTTGACGAGAATATATTTTTTATTTATAGCATCTGCTTTTGAGTTCTTTGCAATTTCACAATTTCTGCGTTAGAAATCTACTTATTCGAATTCGTATTATTGTATATTGTAATTTTCATTAAATTTGCGAACGCGCGCGATTTTTGATATCAAGAGAAAAAATTTTTAGTTTGTTCTGTCA